GCAGGGACAAACAAAATTAAGACTGGGGCTACTGGCCCACCCCACAGAAAATAGGCTTGACTGTGATATTTAAATATAAATGGGTAGTGCTATTTACTTATGAATGTGCCACGGCTCATTCATAGGTAAATATTGCAATCAATTAATATTTAAATTCTTCACCAGCTCCCCCCATTGTAAAAGGTGGTACAGTCTGGCATTCCCAGAGTGTCTCGGCGCTGGAATGGTATTTCAGCTGTTCTTCTTCTTGTATCTGTCAGTGTGTGTGTGGCTATCAGCCTTTGTGGTTAACAGACATATTGAATAGCTCTCTCACACCTTTTTGCAGCCCTTCAACAGTATAAATTACTTTGAATGGGACCCCCTGGCTGCTTTATATTTTCTTACAGTTTTGCAGCTAAAATCTCTGGAAAGGACCCTGCAAATATCAATATGATCCATCAAATATTGCATCTATGCTACTGTAAATCTCAATCATTTAAGATAATTGCTGATCAGTGTATATACCTCCGTTACATTGCTGGTCGGTGTATATACCTCCGTTACATTGCTGGTCAGTGTATATACCTCTGTAACATTGCTGATCAGTGTATATACCTCCATTACATTGCTGATCAGAGTGAATACCCCGTTACAGTGCTAGTCAGTGTATATACTTCCGTTACATTGCTGGTCAGTGCATACACCTCCGTTACATTGCTGGTCAGAGTGAATACCTCTGTTACAGTGCTGGTCAGTGGATATGTCTCTGTTACATTGGCGGTCAATGAGAATACCTCTGTTTCATTGTTGGTCAGTGAGAATACCTCTATTACATTGATGGTCATTGTAAGGCCTCCTAACTGATTCTCTCCTGGCCCGCTCCTTGCTTTCTCCCCTCGCTCTCTCCTGGCTGTCTCTCCTTGCTCTCTCTCTCTTTTGGCTGTCTCTCCTTGCTCTCTCTCTTGGCTGTCTCTCCAAGCTCTCTCTCCTGGCTGTCTCTCCTTGCTTTCTCTTGGCTGTCTCTCCTCACTCTCTCTCTCCTGGCTGTCTCTCCTTGCTTTCTCTTGGCTGTCCCTCCTCACTCTCTCTCTCCTGGCTGTCTCTCCTTGCTCTCCCTCTCTTGGCTGTCCCTTGCTCTCTCTCTCTGCTCGCTCTCTCTCCTGACTGTCTCTCCTCGCGCTTTCTCTTGACTAACTCTCCTCTCTCTCTCTTGGCTGTCTCTTGTTGCTGTCTCTCCCCGCTCTCTCTTGGCTCTCTCTTAGCTGTCTCTCCTGATTGTCTCTTTTTGCTCTCTCTCTACTGGCTGTCTCTCCTTACTCTCTCATTTGGCTTTCTCTCCTCGCTCTCCTGGCTGTCTCTCCTTGCAATAGTAGGGTTGCCACCTGTCCGGGATTCACCCGACAGTCCGGGTTTTGAATGCTGTGTCCGGGTTTCATGGCAGCTGAAACCCGGACACAAGATATCAGGCAGGCAGGGACAAACAAAATTAAGACTGGGGCTACTGGCCCACCCCACAGAAAATAGGCTTGACTGTGATATTTAAATATAAATTGGTAGTGCTATTTACTTATGAATGTGCCACGGCTCATTCATAGGTAAATATTGCAATCAATTAATATTTAAATTCTTCACCAGCTCCCCCCATTGTAAAAGGTGGTACAGTCTGGCATTCCCAGAGTGTCTCGGCGCTGGAATGGTATTTCAGCTGTTCTTCTTCTTGTATCTGTCAGTGTGTGTGTGGCTATCAGCCTTTGTGGTTAACAGACATATTGAATAGCTCTCTCACACCTTTTTGCAGCCCTTCAACAGTATAAATTACTTTGAATGGGACCCCCTGGCTGCTTTATATTTTCTTACAGTTTTGCAGCTAAAATCTCTGGAAAGGACCCTGCAAATATCAATATGATCCATCAAATATTGCATCTATGCTACTGTAAATCTCAATCATTTAAGATAATTGCTGATCAGTGTATATACCTCCGTTACATTGCTGGTCGGTGTATATACCTCCGTTACATTGCTGGTCAGTGTATATACCTCTGTTACATTGCTGGTCAGTGTATATACCTCCGTTATATTGCTGGTCAGTGTATATACCTCCATTATATTGTTGGTCAGTGTATATACCTCCGTTATATTGCTGGTCAGTGTATATACCTCCGTTATATTGCTGGTCAGTGTATATACCTCTGTTACATTGCTGGTCGGTGTATATACCTCCGTTACATTGCTGGTCAGTGTATATACCTCTGTTATATTGCTGGTCAGTTTATATACCTCCGTTATATTGTTGGTCAGTGTATATACCTCCGTTACATTGCTGGTCAGTGCATATACCTCCGTTATATTGCTGGTCAGTGTATATACCTCCGTTATATTGCTGGTCAGTGTATATACCTCCGTTATATTGCTGGTCAGTGTATATACCTCCATTACATTGCTGGTCAGTGTATATACCTCCGTTACATTGCTGGTCAGTGTAGGCCTCCTCATTAATTCTCTCCTCTCCCTCCTGTATATTGTCCAAAAAAAAATATTCTCCACGCTAGAGTGTTCGGGTTTCGCTTGAAGAAAACGTGGCAACCCAACTTCATAGAGGGCTCTATCACATTATGTACTAATTTATTCCTTAGTCCTCGTTCACACCTAGGCGTTTTGTCGCTCAAAGGTAAGCGCGACAAAATGCTCAAGACAAGGAATCCCATATATTTCTATGGCCCTGTTCTCACCTGAGTGTTTTCTCATAAAAAGCTTCCCATTCAAATCTATAGGACCACAAAGCACTGTAATCTGCCAAAAAGTAGCTCATGTACTTTTTCCAGCGACGGGCAATTTTCTGCTTCTGACAAAATACTCAGGCGTGAACAGGGGCCAAAGAAATTAATGGGATTCCTTGTCTTGAGCGTTTTGTTTTCTAGTTTATTTATAGCTTTTGTCTAAAAATTTCTCACCCAACCTTTCCGATTGTACTTTAAAATCTTCTTCTCTGGTACAGTTCTCATTAACTGGCCCTTAGGAACATTATAAAGCCACGATGGAAAATGGCTAGATAGTGGACTAAAACTATTTCTGTCCGTTTCTTTAAAGGAAGTTCTTGTATCGAGATTATTGAGTGTGTTTTTGTCTGATTTAAAAAAAACATTGGGGGGAATTTATCAAAACTGGAGCAGACAAAATCTGGAGCAGCTGTGCACGGCAACCAATCAGCTTTTCTCTTTAGTTTGTTTCGTTAAGATTTGAAAATGAAAGATAGAAGCTGATTGGTTGCCTTGCACAACTGCTCCAGATAAATTCCCTTCAGTGTATAGGATGTGAGGACGCTGAGGGATATAAACTGCAGTGTAGAAGGAGAGAGGCTGGAGGGAGCACTCTGACAGCCGTCCAGTTCCGAGGTTTGGATGATTATAACTTTTTTTTATTGCAGTCGCTAGACGAAAATGAGCATTTATTCCTTGCAGTGCTGGGAAGGGGTGTGTGTGCTAGTTAGCCCCACTGCAAGGGTTAATAATAATTCTGCTAAATACATTTGAATAATAAACTATAGAAGAAATTACAGACATATGATTCTGCTTCAACTATTGAATTTTGTTACAATTAACTCCTTTGTTTGTTTTTTGTGGCACCTTACTTTTCACATGGTGCTTATTGGACACTTTAAGTTGTTGCTGCACAGAGCACTTCATTAGAGATTGTATAGGACTTTGGCAAACTTTGGCAAATGACATTTTTTAATGCATTGCTTGTGGTACCTTTTATGGCATTCTATTTCTGCACACAGCACTTTATAGATGCTGTTATATATATA